CCCCCCCCACGGGTTCATGGCGGGTATAGCTGAAGAAGTCCCCATCGATGGGAATGGTTTTCCCATGGTATTTATCAGCCCAGCCAGCATAATACCTTTAAGAAAAGAAAAGTCCAAGCTTTAATCAGTGACAGTCAGGGATCCTGCAAACCCTAGAAGAATGAGAAGATTCAAACTGATATAATTGGATCTTTCAGATAACTGCTCTTTCTTTTGGTGTATTCCTAGGGAGACTTAAATAGTGGCTAGAGTCACAATCATCCATCCTAGGTAACTAACTTTTTTTTTTTTCTTGGAGAGGTTTTTGCTATAGGGCGCATGCACTTGCCAAAAAGACAGAGATGGATAGAAAGTGAGAAATCACCCTCCAGGGGGAATGGCCATGCCACAATCCCTTCTCCTTTATTCTCCTCTTGGGATCTTGGGCACACACGCACATGCGCCTGGCGTGAGTTTAAGTCACTGGGTCCAGGACTCGAACCGTGGTCGACTTCATGGGAGTCCAGCAACATAGCCATTATGCCATCTGCTGGCCCGTAGATAACTTTTAAGCCTCAGGATCACTTGGACACTTGCAAAAACACCACCAAATTCTAGAGACCCACTTCCAACCTATTCAAGTAGGCTTTCTGAGGCTGATGCCTAGGAATTATTATCTGAGAACTATGAACAAAGTCTGGTGGAAAAAAATACAGACCCATCAAATGCTAGCATTTCTTGTATGCAGAGAACTGTCCTAAGATCAGACAGTGCCAGAAACCCAGAAACCCATTGACTCCAGCCATTGGGAAGCGCATTAACTAGACTACAGAGACACAGGAGACAGCCAAGCAAAGAAAATCAGAGCTGGGGGAGGGGGGCGGGGAGGGCAGGGAGTCAGCTGTATTTATCAGTGTAATGGTTAAGTTTGTGAGGAAGTGGGAAAAGTGCAAGAGGGAGACAAATAAAGCATGTGGGATCATGGAAAGATTTCTGCCACCAGTGGTATCTGGCAAGTTTAGCCTGAGACTGCGATTGTCCTGGACATGAACACAAGTTTGTGACCCTGGGGAATAATAGCCAGGTAGTTGCCGATCTGTACAAGTTCAGATATTGCCACTCCCTTCCTCCCACAACTATGTAAACACAGTCTATGTTACGTGTGGTTTGCACACCTCAGGACAGGTATATAGTCAACACAAATGTGGGGCCAGCAGGTGGTGTGGTAGTTAAGGCACTGGAGTCCCATATAGCCAAAAGCAGTTTGAGTCCTGGCAGCTGGACCTGGCAGCTTGAAAATCATGCTGGATACGTGTGCATGCGTGCCCAAAATCATGAGAGGAAAATGGAGGAGAAAGGACTACGGAGTAGCCATAACCCCTGAGGGGGTGATTTCTCTCACTTTCCCTCTCTCTGTCACTTTCCAGGAAGCACATGTGCCCTACTGCAAAAATCTGGAAAATTAAAATTCAACTCAAAGGCATAATGCTAAAACTCAGAAAAGAACATGGTCTGCCCGAGATTTTCCAGGCTACTCTCTCTAGGGTGTCCTTGCAAAGCGGGTTTCTCAGCGGTAGTTAGCACTGTTGCCATTTGGGGCTGGAAAGTTCCTTATTGCGGAGGCTGTCCCACATTGTAAGACCATTTAGCAAAATCCCTGGCTTCTGCCCATAAAATGCCACTACCACCCTTACCCTGCATTCATGGGAACAAAAATGTGTCCAGACATTGCCTACTGTTTCCTTAGAGATGGGATGGCCCTGGCTGAACACTTCCATTGTGAAGAATCATTGCTATTTTGCTGTCCATCAACTACTTTTTTGGCACTGCTTCCTGTCCATTCTCTCTGTCCACATGTCACAGGGGAGCAGCCATTATTTGCACAATAATCTGTCCACCCTGAGGACAAATGATCACATTCAAGGCCAGTTGATCAGGATCCCTCCCCCAGAGATTTGGCATTAGAACTAAGAGACCGCAGACTAGTCTGGCTGAAATCATGTGTATAGAAACAAGGCCAGGTGCTGTGGGCAGCCAGGTTCCAATACAGAGACTGGCCCTGGAGGAAGCCACGTGTTGCTGAGAGAAAAATGAAGCAAAAGATGCAAGGGAGAGTGAGACTCAAGAACTTTTGGATTTGAGACCCCCTTGACCCTCTGTACTGCCCAAGTTAGACTGAGTGAGTTACTTGTAACCCAGAGGGCTCTAACAAAACTCTTTTTTTCCCCCCTCTAACAAAGCTCTTATTCCTTTGTCATTAAAATTTTTATGACTAGGAACCAGCAGATGGTATAATGGTACTGTCATTGGACTCACACAGTCGACATGGCTCAAGTCCCAGACTCAGTGTTTTAAAATTCATGTCGGGTATGTGTGTGTGTGCATGCCCAAGATCCCGAGAGGAGAATGAAAGAGAAGGGATTATGGTGTGGCCATCCCCTGGGTGTGTGTGTGTGTGTGTGATTTCTCACTTTCTCTCTCTCTGTCTCTCCAGTGAGCATACACGCTCTATAACAAAAATCTCTATTTAAAAAATAAAGTTTATGATTAAACTAAACCCAAAGCTAAAAAAAAGAGAAGGAAATAATAAAGATTAGAGCAGAGAAAGATAAAACTGGGAATAGAAACACAGTAAACAGAATCAACGAAACCAAAAGTTTTGAAAACATTAACAAAATTAACCTTTAGTAGACTAAGAAAAAAGAGAAGGCAAAAATAACTAAAATCAGAAAGTAGAGTCATTACTACAGACGTTACAGAGATTTTAAGAAGTACTATAAGAGAATGCTGTAAACAGTTGCACCCCAACAAATTAAACAACCTAGATAAAACAGACAAGTTCCAATATAAATTGTGACATATAAATTGCCAAAAGTGACTTAAGAAGAAAGAGAAAATGTTTATTTCTAAGTCACAGTTTTTGATATTCAGGAATTTTCTCATGAAATGGGAAATGAAGGTTGTGACCCTTTTGTATTTTTGTAATTCCATTTCTATCTACCCAAAATGCTCCCTCCCCTTTGGCACCACCAGAACGAAGAACAGGAAACCTGAACCCATACCGGAGACATTTGAGGACCATGTCCAAATCTACCAGATAGGAAATGACATAGGGCTTGCCGTTGTCCAAGGTCTCCAAGGCCTGAGAAAAGAGAACAAGATCAGCAGAGACATGTTGGTGCAGGGATTAAATGAAGCAAATGGGTTGATGGACAGCACTGAGGCCTGGGCTGAACAGGCCTGGTAGAAGCTAAGGGTGAGAATCCCATTTATGCCACTAAGTGTTGCAGGCATTTCAAGATGACTGCCCTGGCTTCTCCAAAGGCAAGGAGGAGGAGTAAGAGGCATGGAAGGAATAAGACACCAACTTCTCACTTAGTTATTTCACAAACAATTTTTTTAGTTTCTGTTCTCTGCCATATCCAGTTGCTGGGAAAATGGAGATGAGCATGGAACTTACAGAGCAAAGAGACAATGAATACTGACCTTAATCATCAATCATATGTGTTAGAGTGCTAGAAAGGAGGAGAGGAACTGTCTGAGAAAGGAGAATCCAGTCTTAGAAACACCAACCTGAGACAAGGCCTTTAGGCTAAAATCTCAAGGTTATGGAGGAGCTGGCCAGGCAAAGGGGCTATATACAAATGGCAACAAAGCAAAGATGGAACAGCAGGTGCAAAGGCCCTGATGCTCAAAGAAACCAGGCTATCAAGAGAAGGCCGATGAGCTGAGCTGTGTGAAGGGCATACTCCACCAGGACATGGGTGTTGGAACCAGAGCAGGGAACATCTTATAGGCCATGTGGAAGACTTTATCGTAAGGATACAGATACTATGCAAAGCTCCAGAGCAGAGTACCATGGTGCAATTGGCCTGGCTGCTGTGAGCAGAATGGACTGGGGCAGGGAGAGGATTTCTTCCTGGTTTCTTCTGCTTCTCACAGCCAGAGAAAAGGTCTCCCCTATAGAGCTCCTCCTTCCTCCTGCTTTCCTTTCTTTGCATCAAAGGAGACAATGAGAGGCTCCACTGGTTGGTAGGGGGTAGACCGCAAAGGTGTCCATTCTATGCTATTATGATCAGTTAGATGTCAGCGTGTGGCCCCTGGCTGTTCAGGAGTCTGTGAGTCCACTTGCTATGTGGGATGCCAAGGGTGGGGGCTGAGAACTTACTGCCAGGTAGGTCCGGTCCCGCTCAATCAGATCAGCCAGGCGGTACAGCAGCCGGCCCCTGTCAGATGCATCCATGCGGCGCCAGGGTGAGCCTAGCTGGAAGGCAGCCCGGGCGGCCTTCACTGCCTTGTCCACATCTTCCTGGAAAACACCCAAGGCAGCTCATGCCTTCTCAGTAATACCTGCCTCCAAATGCCATCCACTCCAATGTCAGACATACCCACAGAGCAGACAGCACGTGCCCATGCAGAAAACCTGCCCCCAATCAGTCCTTCCTATCCCTCCAGGCTCCATGTGACAAGCTGTAGACTTCAGAGGGATGGCTGAAGAACACAACTTTTTCTCTCCTAGTCAGAAGTCATAGAAGAAGGAAATTTTGGTACCAGCAGTTAGTGTAATGGCTATGTTGCTGGACTCCCATGTAGTAGACCATGGTTCGAGTCCCAGATCCGGTGACTTAAACTCACGCTGGCCACATGTGCTTGCGTGCCCAAGATCCCAAGAGGAGAATGGAAGAGAAGGGATTGCGGCGTGGCCATCACCCATGGGGGGTGATTTCTCGCTTTCTGTCTCTCTGTCTATCTCTGTCTTTCTGGTGAGCAAACATGCCCTATAGCAAAAACCTCTCCAAAAAAAAGGAAATCCTGGGACCAACAGATGGTATAATGGCTACATTGCTGGATTCCCATGTAGTCAACTGCGGTTTGAGTCCCAGACCTGGTGGATTGAAATTCATGCCGGACGCATGTGCATGCATGCCCAAGATCCTGAGAGGAGGATGCGGAGAAAGGAGTGTGACGTAGACCTA